AAATAATGATGAAAGTTTCTTTGCTGTCAAGTTATACAGAAAATACATGACCTTCAGGGGAGACCAGTTCTCTAGAAGTTGTGAGATGTGAGCAGTGAGGAAAAGACAGCAAAGAAGAGAGGGGATGCCCCCAATATTTCACCTATAAAACAACAGGATTCTGAAGATTTTGTGAGGATAAAATTTGTCCATCCATACACAGTACTTGGCATAGAGACTGATACCAAATAAACCTCCAATAACTGTTTAAAAAAACTGCTTTAACAAATTATTTCAGATTCAAAAAAGGAAAAAGGCAACCCAGTTTCCTATGAAAAGCCCTGGGTCTGGGTCTAGCTGGCCTTGGGCAACCCTTCCCCTCTCTGGGCCCCCATTCTTTCATGTGTAAAATGAGGCAATTTTAACCAAGTGGTCAGGCTTTATCTAATGGACAATGTAAATTGAGCAACTGACCATCACGTTTCTCTTTTCCTGCTAATTACATGAATGTTTAACTACATGAATTAAATCTGTAGCAAGCTCATTGCACATGGAGATTTTTTTTTTAATCTATTCACATTTTCTTCTCCATCTCACATTCCTTTTCCTTTGTTAAAAACATTATCACGGATTTAGAAGCATTTTAATACCATATGTCACTAAAACTTGTATTAAATATGTTTTTTGAATAAGATGACACAGTAATGACACAGAATACAAGGATTCTGTTTGGGAGGAGGGAAATAAGACTATATATAATTTGGTTAAAAGTTAAAAGCATGAGCTTTGGTCTCACTATCTTGAGCAAGGTATCTAGCCTGCCTTAGTTACCTCAATTATAATATGGGACTAATGGTTACAGTTTCCTCACAGGATAATTTTAAACATTAAATGAGATAATGCACTTGATAAATGTTAGCCATTATTAACATTTATGTTTCCTCTCTCCAGAACCAATTCTTCCTTTGTTGTTGTTGCTGGAATGTGTCTTTTTTATTTTAACTTTTTATTTTATACTAGAGCAATATCAGCAATGTTGTGATAATTTCAGGTGTACAAAAGAGCAACTCAGCCATGTGTATATGTGTATCCATTCTGTCCCAAACTCCCCTCCCACCCAGGCTGCCACATGACATCGGGCACAGTTTCCTGTGCTATATAGTAGGTCCTTGTTGGTTTATCCACTGTAAGTATCACAGTGTGTACATGTCTATCCCAAACTCCCTAACTATCCTTTCCTGCCATTCTTTCCCCACCAGTAACCACAAGTTCATTCTCTAGGTCTATGGCTCTGTCCTGTTTTCATAACTAATTCTTACGCCCACTCCAGATGCTCCACTATTGGTTTCCATGAAGCAAGGTCTGCCAATGGATTTTATACAGAGACCTAGGTGTCCTAATTGACTTAGGGCTTTTCTAAAAACAAGGCAACGTTGGCACACACAGAACCACAATATGTGGCCCACAGCTTTGCAAGCAGCAAAGCAATTCTCACCTCATAACTGTGGTCCTCTCACTGCTGATGGTGCAGCCTGGGTTGAATGGGAAGGACATCTATCTGAAGGCAGTAGACAGAGAGCTACAAGTTTCAAGCAACATGTAAGCTAAGATTTCACTTTCAATTATTTATTTGATCCACTTTTACTATTATTTCTATTATTTTACGTAATAGAACACCTGTTATGTGTTATGTACTAGGCCCTGAGGATTCAATAGAGATAAGATACCATCTCTGCTCCCTTAGATTTTATGTTCAAATGGTGGTATATAGGCAAGTATATCAATAATTACAACACAGCATAATAAGTAGTAAGGTAGAGGAAGCCCAGGGAGTATGAACGCTGACCCTAACCCAATTCAAACAGGGAGGGGTCATGGAGGAAGTGACAGCTGAGCAGATATCAGAGGGATGACTGGAAGTTAGCCAGCATTATGGAGGAGTGTAGAAAGTGCAGGAAATAGAGAGATCATGCCAAGCAAAAACGTCCAGCCTGCGCAAAGCCTAAATGCAAGAGAGAATACAGCAAGTTTGGGAAATGTAAAGATTCCTCTTAGCTGAAGCACAGCAAGCTGTTTCACAGCAGAAGAGACTGGAGAGGTATGGAGACAGATCATGCAGACACTTGTCGGCCCTGGGAAGGAGTTCTGGCTCCATCCTGAGAGCAGTGAGAGCTAGTGTACTTTAAGCCTGGCCTGGGCATGTCCTTTGTTTTAACTCATGCAGTATCCCACATGCAGCAGGACCTTGGAGCACATCTAACCTACTTCATTGTACAGATGAGGAAATAGGTGAAGTGACTTATCTCAGATAACTTAGTTGCAAAATCAGGACCAAAAAGCAAGCCTCTGTATTTCCAAAGCAGTGGTTTCAATAAGACCATGTTGCAAAAAAAAAAAAAGAAAGACCATGTTGCTTCCCCTTAGAAGCAAACAGAATTCAGGGATCAGGGAATTATTTTTGCCCAAGATCTAACCAACTATAGACATAATCATCTTTTTTTGTTTGTTTTTAAGCAACGTGTTCCTGCAAGGTGAAAAGACAGGGAAGGGACCACAGGGAGAAATATGTTTGCCAGAAATTTACAGCATCTAAAATAATATTCCATTTAGAATGAAAATCCTGTCTCTCACTGTTACATATTTGTAATCACTGACACCCAAAATCCCAAGGATCACAGTAGAAAATTAAAAATTAAAAAAAAGAAGGAAACTTCACTTCTGGTTTTCAAAGCCATCCTCCACAAACACCCCCACAGCTTTCTCACATGGCACCAGTGAGAATATATATATATTAATATATATGACATACATATATATATATGTATGTCATCCTTTCTGAAATAGCAATCTAAATTAGAATGAGTGATGTAACATTAAACCACAAAGGATTATGAATGCTGTGTGCTAGGGAAATGATGTGAGATCAGTGAGGGCAAAGACTTTCACAAGTTCTTTGCTGAGTGTTGAGTAATGGGGCTTCTCTATAAATAGCCGATAGGAATAGCTGAGTGATTAACTAGAAATTTGTGAGCTCTTCAGAAATATTTCAGAAAGGTTCCCCTGTAGCAAAACTTTACCCCTTAACTTTAAAATGTCTCAAATGTTTTCAAATTATTTACCTTGTGAAGTAGGAAAAGCAATTCATCTCCCCACATTGTAGATAGGGTGGCATCTCAGGCACAGAGTGAAGTGACTTGTTCAGGGATCCCAAGGTTGAAATTCAGTGCTGCCTGACTTCCCCTGGCTTGAGGGCCCCCCAGGCAGCTTACAGAGACCCATTTCTGTGGAGAGTGCCAAATGAGGTAAGTCTTGAAGAGAAAGGTGCCTGTCCTCTCAGTTCTTTCCCAGGTTTTGCCAGAAAATACTTCCTGTTACCATGTATTCGCCTTTCTGTCCATTAGGCAATTAAGTCTTCTTGAATGAACTAAAGAGCCTCTTGATGAAAGTGAAAGAGGAGAGTGAAAAAGTTGGCTTAAAACTCAACATTCAGAAAACTAAGATCATGGAATCCGGTCCCATCACTTCTTGGCAAATAGATGGGGAAACAATGGAAAGAGTGACAGACTTTATTTTCTGGGGCTCCAAAATCACTGCAGATGGTGACTTCAGCCATGAAATTAAAAGACGCTTGCTCCTCGGAAGAAAAGCTATCACCAACCTAGACAGAATGTTAAAAAGCAGAGACATTACTTTGCCACCAAAGGTCTGTCTAGTCAAAGCTATGGTTTTTCCAGTAATCATGTATGGATGTGAGTTGGGCTATAAAGAAAGCTGAGTGCCAAAGAATTGGTGCTTTTAAACTGTGGTGTTGGAGAAGACTCTTGAGAGTTCCTTGGACTGCAAGGAGATCCAACCTGTCCATCTTAAAGGAGATCAGTCCTGAATATTCACTGGAAGGATTGATGCTGAAGCTGAAACTCCAATACTTTGGCCACCTGATGCAAAGAACTGACTCATTGGAAAAGACCCTGATGCTGGGAAAGATTGACGGCAGGAGGAAAAGGGGATGACAGAGGATGAGATGATTGGATGGCATCACTGACTTGATGGACTTGAGTTTGCATAAGCTCCAGGAGCTGATGATGGACAGGGAAACCTCACTGTGCTGCAGTCCATGGGACCACAAACAGTCAGTCATGATTGAGGGACTGAACTGAACTGAATGAAGTTGAGGGAGGTCCCTGCTTAAGAGACGGCAGCTTCGGGGCTTTGCCCCCAAGGGAAGTGAAACGGAGGGTGAGAATGTATTTCTGAACAAGAGGAGCAGCATTTGGGATCAGATTCTGTTGGTGGAAGCCCCTTCTCCCCAACCCTCAGGTTTTTCTGTCCCTTCACCCTGTTCTTTTTCTTCACAGAATGTCTCCCAGTGGCATTTGCTAGGTAAATTTATCTGGTCTCTCCTAAACAGATGATAAGCTCCAAAAGGACAGGGAGCCCGTCTTTTGTACACCAGTGCCTACTCTGCTCCTGGCACGGTACTTGGAACAAAACAGGTGCTCGATAAATATTAGGGAGATAAATGAGCACTTGGAAATAATGCGAGGTCTATGAGATACCAAAGGAGCCCAAAGCTTCAGTCCTCCCACAGCTGCAGGTGTGGCTCCCAAGCCTGGGAGCTCCTGGGGAACAAGTCCACCCTAAGCGGCGCTGCTGGCTTTCCTTGCGGGGGGAAGTCCGAGGTGCAGGCCAGGATTCGCGGGCCGCCCTAAGGGGTGCACCGGGAGCCCCTGGTCGCAGCCATTTCCGGCTCTTTGTGTGACAGCCGAGGCGGCGAAGGGGCGGGATCTCAGGAACAGAGGCGGAGCCGCAGAGGGTGGAGGGGCGGGGCCGAGGGCGGGGCCCAGCGCGGCGGCCGCCAAGCGGAGCCGGGCAGAGCATCCTGCGCCCCGGCGCGGGGCCCCGCGGTAGCCTCCGGCCGCTCGCTTAGACCTGCCGCAGACCCAGGTAAGACCCAGACTCGCAGGCCTCGGGGCCTGCGTGGGGACCGGGATGCTGCTGGGCATGGCGACGCGGCCGTAAGGATGCGCGAGGGGTCTGCACCCTTCTCCGAGCCCCGCGGGGGTGCTCGGCTCGGAGGCTGGGCTAGCGCGGCCTGGGAACCCCGAAACCCTCCGAGGCTGGGCCTCAGGTCCGGAACAGCCCCCTACCCGCTCCGGCCCACCCTGGGCCCCGCGGTGCGTACCCGCTGCGGGGAGGCGCCGACGCACGGCGGAGCTGGGGCGCGGCGGCGGTGGCAGCAGCAGCAGGTGCGCGGCCTGGGCCGGAGCCACCGGCCCGGGAGGACGCGGCGCTCATCCCGGGCTCCGGAGACACCTGCAGCGGCCGCGAGCCCGGCGGCGGCGGTGGTCTCCCCGCACCCAGGTACTGCAGAGCGCCGGCCGCCGCCTCTGCGGCCGCGGCCACCATCACCTCCTCCAGGGCCAGCGAGGGCCGCCTGGGCCCGCCTGGCAGCCTCCTTGGGCTCACAGCTCCCTGCAGTGAACGTGAGATGGGTGGGGCGAGGGGCGAAGAGGCGATGTTTAGGGGTGCGGGCATTAATGAGAGAGGAGACACGCCTGACCCGCTTTGAAGCCTTCCGGCCTAGCATCGCTCTCCCTCCAGGCTGTCTGGGGGCGGGAGAGGAGGTGGGGGAAGCGGGGGAGTGGGCTGTACTCCTGGGGTAAATGTTGGGTTTTCCTGAGCTCTGAAGACTCGGGAAGATGCCTACCTGTCTGTAGTGGCATCTGCTTTTCAGGACAGCCCTCCCCCTCCAAGGGCACACCGTATGAAAAGGAAGAGAAGGGCGTGCTCTTCGTGTGCAGTGCGGGCGGGGGTGGGAAGCATGGTCCGACAAGAGTATGGTTCTCTGTATGGAGAACCTGGCAGAGCAGAACCCTAGGACTGCCCAGGTGCCCTCCCCAGCCCAGGGAATTTGACTTTGACCTCTACTTGCCTGGTTTCCGCAGCACAGCAGAAAGGCTCGCCAAGGGTTGACAGGCCCTTACAGCCAGGCCAGGAAGAGGACAAGGATCTTTTCCTACCCGCTCGCTGGTGCCTTCAAGGCTTGACCGGGAGCCTGGGGCAGTCCTGCCAGCTTGCGGAGAAAATCAGGAGAGTGCTGGTTCCCACACTCCCCCTTTCCACCTTCTGCCTGTGTCCCCAGCGCAGGGGGTGTCTTACCTTACTCCTGGGCACAGGCCCTGTTTCAAGCCCTGCTAGCAGCGGGGGAGATCACAAATGCTGGAGAGCGATACATCTAGGTTTATTTTGCTGGCAGGATGGTGAAGGACTTAAAAGTTGTTTCCTCCACCATCAGACCCTCCCTAAGACCACCCACCTCCAGTTCCAGATACTGCCCTGCCGATCCACCATCCCCACTGGCTATTTGCCTGTGTCAAAAATTGTTTTCAAAAAAGGAGCCAGTAAACACATTAATCCTCAAGAGCTAAATACACAAGAATCTCCCATAGACACAGAGCAGGTGCTTCAGAAGTCATTTGACCAGAAAGGAAACAGAGACTTGGAGGTATTTTAATGGAAAATAAAGCTTTAAGTAAATAATATTTGATATCTCTAGTGGTGGAATTTCAGGCAGTGGGCTGGAGGTGGGGGTGGGGAACTGGGTAGCAGTTTGGGGGAACAGCTTGCTGAAATGACAACAGCTAGCAGCTGTCACCTCTATTTTGTTGTTGCAAGGGCGACTTTGGCCCTGAGGATAAAAATACCATAAGAGTTGTGTGTGTGTATATGTGTGTGTAACCGGTCAGGGTTACTGTCACTCGAGGGTATTATTGAGCACCCAGTGACCACTTGAAGGAGGTGAGACTTTCCCATAGAGAGTTACTTGTTGGCACTGGCTGCCATCTGCCAGGGCACCTCCGAGGCCACAAGGAGAGTGTGTTATTGCTCACAAAGCCAGTTCCTCTGGCTAGTCCTGCAGGCTGAGATTCTGGCTGGAGGCATTAGAGCTCTGCTCACTAAGCTGCTTTATTATATTTTCTGGCCAGTCCTGACTGGTTCCGTAAACACCCAAGCCTACGTTGTTCAGTCCCTGCTGGAAGTGGAAAGGGAAAAAGTCATTTTACACATTAGACCAGGAGGAGGGTGTAAAATCCACCAGGATCAGAGAGTTTTACTCCAGTCAAATCAGAGGCTGGCCCACAGAAGACAGTAGACAAGAAAATTTAAAAAGTGGAAAAAAGTCTTGAGGGGATAGTGCATGTCCCCTCTGATATATTACGCCCTCTTGAGCATTCAGTGGGCCTCGGCTGCTGTCATTGACCAGCAAGCTGAATTAGGTGATGAATAAGCAACAAGCTAATTAACATTGGGAACAGCATTCCTGGAAAACAGTGCTGAGCTCTTCCAGCCTCCATGTTTGAGGATCAGCCTACCCTCTCAAAGAGGTTTCTTTTGGCTGCTGTTGGCCCTAGGGTTCCACCACGGGCTGCACAAAATGGCCTTTTATAGCCTCCATGTGGCTACCATAACAATGAGTCTATTTCTTTACTGGCAAGTATTAATTATTCACTTGTAGTTGACGAAACCAGACATCAGTCATCTCATTGGAGCTTTTGTAAAAGGCCTTTGGTCTTATTGTTCTGAGGAGCAAAGCTGAGTCTCAGGTCTAGAGGATGGACCCTGCATCAGTAGTGAAGGTGGGGCAAGAGGGTGGAGGATGCTGCCGCCCCTGGCAGTGACACAGTATGCCAGGTACCAGGCAAAGAGCTGGTACTTCATTGGATGCTCTTATTAAACAAGGGCTGCATGAAAATGCTATGTAAATGGTCTAACACATAGTAAGGACTATTTTATGTGTATGTCTATTGTTGTAATGTATTAATGACATCATCATTAAGAATGTGACTCATGCTACATTATATATTGTGTCAATTTAAGATGACAAATTTTTTATTGTTGTCATGGTTGATTCTGCTAAAGAATTCCATGGCTTTAGAGGGCCTCCCATCAGGAAGGTTCCACCCTGGTTACCCAACAGACACTTCATTGCTGGAGGCCATGTCCAAGAACACCCTTTCTGTGAGTTGGCCAGTTAAGTCTTCACTGCTGGGGGATGAGGAGTGACAGGAGTTCCTTGATGTGCTAAGAGGAGTCCCAGTTTGGGAGGAGGAGGTGTTGTCCACACAGAGTTCTTTTCAACCCTTGTACCTCCAGAACCTTCCTGGATTTTGCTTTTCCCAGCGGAGTTGGTCTCTGTGACCATGAAACCCAGTCCCAGGTTGAGTTGCAAAAGCTAGCCAAAGGAAAGCCTGATAAGTAGCGGTGTCAGTAAGGGCTTCAGCTGGGACACGCTCCTGAGTAGGGGGCTGAAGTAGGCAGAGATGTAGCTGGAGTAGGCAGAGAGAAGGGGGAAGGAATTTACCAAGCAGACGCCCAGAGGTAGTTCTCACATTTCAACACATAGATCAGGAAGGACCTCTTCCTCTGTGGACATTCAGCATTTTGCAACCCCACCAAAAATGTTAAGGGCATGCAGGCAGAGAGAGAGCAGTATGCCATGGTCTTCAGACACAGGGTTTATCCCTGCCTTGCTGTGTGCCTTTCAATTAGCCACTACCTCTCTGACTTTGAAAACTGGGGAACTGAAAGCAGCCTGCCCAGCCCGTTATCTACCTGTTGCCACAGGAGCCCACGGATGAGATCATGTCTGTAAACCCCAGTCTGAGAAGAAGAAAAGGCCCTGGAAACAGAGGCGAAAAGGAGGTTCCTGAGTGTGTGGCCCCTTTAGACGGCTGCCCTCCATTCCTAAAGGGACAGTTTATTAATTATACCTTGTGTGTCAATGGAAGAAGACAAATCTGTGGTCTCTCTGTACCCCCGAGCCAATTGAAAGGGAAACTGAAAGGCACTTTGTGATTCACAGATTCTATCAAGGCCCCTGGAAGGCCTTGTCTGTACAAAGACACTTCAGAATGTGGTCAGTGGGTGTGGGACGCCTCCCAGGATGCAAAGAGGTTGAGTACTGGCTACCGCGCCCTGGCCACTGTGCTGAGGACTGTGTGCGATGTGCCTCAGAGGACCACCAATCAGGTCATACCTCTTGCACCCTGGCAGCAGAGGTGAAAACAATGTGGGTGACAATTCTTGAAAGAAACTGTTTTGAAAAGGCAGAGCTTGGATTCAGGCAGAATTTCTTGCAGGGATCATTCTGGCTAAGTGGCATTTTGATAGACTTGCGGCAACTCAGAAACAGTATAAGGAGAGGAGAAAGTAAACATGACCTGGAGAGCTGCCCAAGAAAGACTCAATGATGACTTCATTGATAGGTCTTTTGATTTCATGTTTGCATCATCCTTAGGCCATTGTAGAGCTGTGGTTAACAGGCATTTATCTTTTTATGGAATAGGGAGATATTTAGTGGGTCCATGGTGTGTGGTCTCTATCTTCTAAATAAGGCAGGAGATGAGGTCCTCTGCAGAAAGTAAAGGTGGTGGACTGGTAAGGAGAGTGCAGGAGGTGTCCGGAGGTTTGGAACAGCTGCCTTTGTGGGCGGAATAAGAAATCAGATGGGAATGAATGAGAGCATTGTCTAACTTTACCAAAAGCCCAGTTGAGATCAAAGAGACTCTGCAGGGCTGACCCTTATAGAAGACAGTAGCTCAGTGTTAAGTGAAGGGATACCTGAGAATGATATTCTGTTTGTGTTTTTCAGTTGTGATGCTTCAAGACAAATTCAGGGAAGATATGAATGATGAGATAAGAATCCAAAACTCAGAGTCAGCCATCAACCTCCAAGTGTGCTATACATTCATAGGGGAAAGAGAAATGAAGTTCTGCTTTTTATTTTTTTGGTGGAAACAATGACAGAAGAAACTTCTAAATATATCCCCTTACATTCTTATTACAATAAGACTGACTTAGATATGGTGCCTTAGGGGACCATGATGTTTTAAATTTTGTGGGTTTTTTTTTAAAGAAGACTTGATTGTTGACCATTGGCTCTTGCATTCAGGAAATTGTTCATGAAGTGTTAATTAAGCAAGTAATGCCTAGGATGTGCCCAGCTCTGTGCTAGTTGCTATGGGTCAGCCCCCCTCCAGAAGATGACAGTTAATCCTTGTCTTGTCATTTTTGGTGATCCAAAGAATCAGTAAAATATAAAGCAGTTTATAATGCAGTAGGAAATTATGGACTCCAGACTGTGAGTGCTATGAGAATCCAAGAAGTGAAGTTTGTGGTGGTTCAGTTGGTCAGATCTTCATGGAGGAGCCTGTCTTGAATTGGGTCTTGACCCTGATCAAGGGTAGGATATGAGAAGGAGAGAAGACAGTTCATTACGGAGTGGAGAGAGCTTGACAAACGCCTAAGGCAAGAATGTCCATGGGCCGGTTTATGGCACCCTGCATACTCAGGCCACAGAG